GTATACTTAGTTCTTAAACTAGCACACTTAGTTCTTAGATTACTATACTTAGTTTCTAAACTAAATTTATTACGCATAGGCTATTCTACGCTTAGTTTCTACTAGGTATTATATATTCTAATATAGTTAGGTTAAGTAGCTACGCTAGTAATTAGTAGTATAAGATAGTATACACTAGTCTAATATAGGTACTAAATTAGTATATATAGATTAATAATTAGTATAATTCTATTATTACTAGATATAAAAAAAAAGTTATAGGCTAGTAGACGCTAGTATATAATATAAATATTCTATTTCTATAAGTATACTTATACTTCTATCTATTACTATATTTAGTAAGTACTAAGATAGCTAGAATAATAGTATCTATAAATCTACTACTATAGTAAATAATATATTTCTAAAGAAAGAGTATACTAATACTTACTAGTTAGAGTTTTATAATAGTAGCGCTTTTTAGAAGTTATTAATATCTTAGTTACTATTCTATACTATAGTATAGATATATAAGTGTATTATATAGAAAGATCTAGTATTATAGATTTCTAATAAGTATAATATACTTACTTTTATAAATATAATACTAGTACTTTTAATATTAGTCTAAAATAAAGCTAAAGTTAGAGAAAGTAAAGTAGAAGTAGATATAAATAGTACTACTCTTATAGATAATATAATATTAGAGATAGCTAAGAATATAGTAAATAAAATAATAACTTAGCTAAAGAAATAATAATACTAAAAAGAAAGCTTAGATAGTAGTATAAAATAAGTAATAGAGAAATACTAAGTTAAGAAATTAAAGTACTAGAAGAAGTACTAGGCTTCTATCTAGAAGCTACTAAATAACCTTAATATAAAAGTTAGAATAAATAAAAAGTAACTTATATACTAAGAGTATATAGAAAGATAGAGAAAGATAGACCTAGCTATAGTAGAGAATTTAATTTACACTAGATATAGTGTTACCTTAAAAGAAGTGTTCTAGAACTAGTTAGTACTAATAAAAGTTTAGTAGTAGTAAGCTACTAAAAGACTAGAGCTACTATAGATTATAATATAAAGTAATAATACTATATTACTAGCGTATAATAATATAGTTTCTATTTATAGTCTTAATATATAATCTTAGAAAGTATATAAAAAGAAATATAATAAAGTAATACTTATAGAGAGCGTAAAGTTATATATAACTATTTAATATTATATTAAATATACTAAGCTTTATAAAAATAAGTTAGAAATAGAATAGATTATTAAAAAGTACTAGAATAAAAGTAGTAGAGAAAGACTAGAATAGAGAGTTATAATATTTACAAAAATATATCTACTAAAAGTACTTTATAGTTAGAATATAGAGAGATAGATATATAGAAAAGAATAGATAAAGTTTAATAAAGTTATAATATATAGAAAATAATAGAGCTATTTTAAGATATTATTTAAAGTTAGTACTTTTACACTATTACTAGAAAGAGTAAAGAATAGTTAGGTTAAGAGTTTATAGAAGGTAATATTTCTAGAGTAGTATAATTTTATTATTACGTATAATAAACACGTAGTACTACTATTAGATATAATTAAGAATATAATAATAATACTAATAGAAAAATACTTTCTACTATTAGAATAGTTTGCGTTTAAAGATATAGAGAAATAGAACTATATTTATAATAATCTAGAAAGTTTATAGTTTCTACTTTAGTCTTATAATCTAAATAATAGTTATAGATATATTTAGGTTAGGTAGTGTCTAGTAGATACTATAGAGCCTAGAGATATAGTAGAGAAAAGGTATTTAAGTAAAGATATATTATTTTTAAAGTATAAGTAAATATAATAGTTTTACGTTATACTAAGTTTATATATATTTAGTATAATCTCTAATATTAGTATTATATACTATTCTATAGAAAGCTAAACTTAGTTATAGTAATATATTTCTTATTTTAGTTTCTTTCTATATTATATCTACTATATCTTCTTTTATTATTATATATCTATAATTATCTTATAAGTAATAAAGCTCTATACTAGTAATATTTACTAATATTCTAGTCTACTATAACTAAATAGATATAGTGTCTAGAACTAGAGCTATAAATATAGTAGAGCTTCTCTAAAGTAAGAGAAAGCTACTAGATAGTTTTACTTTAGCTAAGTATAAATATACTATATATACTACTATACTATTAAAAGATATATCTATTAAGAATATTATCTACGTCTATACTCTACGCTAATTATTCTTCTTTATATAGTTATTAAAACGTATTACTACTTCTACTCTAGTTTAGAATAGTAAAAAGTTAGTATATATCTACTATAGAATATTAAGCTTTAAGTATATTTCTATAGAAATTAAAGTAGAGTTTAAGCGTGTAAAAGGTTTAGTAGAAAAGCTATATATAAATTAAAAAGAGTTATATTATACTTAAATAGAAATAGTTTACTTAAAGAAAATAGTAGTAGCGCTATAAAGTAATATTATAATAGAAAAACTAAAAATAGCTAGAGCTTTAGATAAAGTTAATATAGCTAAAGTAGAAGTAGCTTAACTCTATAGTTATATTAAAATAAGTAAGAGTATACTCTATAAGGTTACTAAAAGCTATAAAACTATTATTAATACTAATAATACTACTAAAGTTAACTACACTAATTTAGATACTAATAGTATACTTACTATTAATAGTAAGGTAGAGAATAATTAATAAGCTTTAGTATATAATAGCTAAGATAGAGAAATAATAACTCTATTCTATAGTATATATTATACTTACGTAATATAGACTTTCTTTTATATATATAGTAGTTATATTCTAGTATATCTTCTACTTTCTATAAGAACTTTTATATATAAAATAATCTAATATAAACTAAATCTATCTATTCTAATATACTCTCTACGTAATATACTACTATTATATATATATAATACTTTATATCTTATTATAGACTCTAGCCTACTTATTATACGCGTAGAATAGAAAACTAAGATATTAAATTTTATAATAGATTTATACTTAGATATATTAAAATTTAAAATAAAAGTTTTATTACTTAAATAAATATAATAAGTTTACGTTAGATATAGATACTAAAGATACGCATTATATAGAGGTAGAAAGATTTTATATTTAGTTTAGATAGTAAAGTTTAATATTAGAGTTAGATAGTAAAGGTTTTATATCTAGATAAAAAGTAAATAGTTCTTAGTATCTACGTACACTCTAACTATAGGCTAGTAGATATTTTACTTTATAGTTAGAATTATATAGAATATATAAGTATATTATTACTTATATAAAAGTATATCTACTTTATATAAAGTTAAAAGAATTAGTAGTTATAGAATATCTATAAGAAAATTAAAGTTTAGAACTTTAATCTAGATATTATCTAGAGAATCTTATAGACTTTAACCTAAGTAAGTACTAAAAACTAGAGTAGTATAGACTACTTATAGTAGACTTTAACTTAAAGTCTATATATCTAATACTAATAGCTATATATAAACTATACTAGTAGTAAGTATAGTAATTATATAAAGAACTTTAAAATTTAGTCTAAAACTTCTCTACTCTATAACTTTATAATGTAAGTAGCTATTAATAAGCTAAGTAAAGTATTAAATTTATGTAGTTATTCTATATAAGATAGTCTACTTAGATTTTATCTAAGCTTCTTAGTAGTAAAGTTTAAAAGTCTTAGAGCTACTACTTTAGAGCTACTCTCTATTTCTTATTAGTACTTATTACCTTTACTAAAAATTACTTAGATCTAGTAGCTCTAAGATATTCTCTTAGATAGGTTAAGATTAGATTAGAGCTATTACTAATATAATCTAATCTTAACTAGATTTATATCTATTTACTAGTATATATATTATTCTATAATAATAAAAAAATTAGAATTTTTTAAATAGTTATTAGTTCTATACATAGTTTTAGAAAAATAGTATTATTTTTTATAAATTAATTAGTATTAATTAAATCTAAAAAGTAAAAAACTAATATATATTTAGTTTATAACTTTAGTATACTTTTAACTAGCTAAAGTTTAGTTTATTTTTTCTTAGTATATATTTCTAAGCTATAGATAAATTAAAGTACTTAAGTAATCTAGTTTTAGTTATAGCTTTACTTTACTAAAGTATATAAAAGTATATTTATAGTAAAAAAGTTTTTATAAACTTTCTTTAAGTATTAATTAAATATAATTCTTAAAAACTAACTCTAAGAGTAAATACTAGAAAAGATTAGATAAATTTAATAGTTTAGAAAAAAAAACTTTCTAGATAGCTATATACTTTAGAAAAGTTTTCTAAGCTTAGCTAAAACTAAACTAGACTTTTAAAACTTCTAGCTAAGAATCTTTTTAGATATTATCTTTTATACTTAGATCTACTTTTCTATTTCTTATTAGCTTTATTACTCTTAATAAGATTTACTTAGAGTTTCTAGCTCTAAGATATTCTCTAGAATAGGTCTAGTAGACCTAAGACGTTCTCTAGAGTAGGTAGTAAAGCCTATTATTAGACCTCTAGAGCGCGCTACGGTACCGCCCGGCGTAACTACACTGCCGGCTACATAGTAGAACCGAATACCAAGACATTTCTTCTACTAAGGTCTAAACACGAGTGCTTGTACTAAGCCTGCGCTACGAGCGCGAGCGCGATGCTACTCTAGATGTTCCCGTACCTTGCGATGTCGCACATGCATCCTTAATCGTGAGACTGCGCCACGAGGTACGAGCGCGATACTTGCTCTAGCCTGGCAAAGTTGCGACTACATTCTTAATAGAACTACTCGAGGAATAAGACGAAGCGTAAGGCGAGCTGTTGCGCTTGAGCTAAGCGCTGTATAAAGAGTAGGCAATGACGCGACGAAGTGGCTTCACGATATCTCACTCAGGACACGTTATTCTATCCCTAGCTTAAAGTCACACTCGAAGTTAAGACGTCTTCAGGGTTCCCAAACCCTCTCACTCCCACCATGGCACCATCCTGGCTCGAGAACTTCATCGTCCGCAGCGACTCACCCTCGACACCCGACACGCGCCGCGGAACCGAGACCCCCGTGCTAAAGCTCAAGTACACAAGTCTCGCGGAACACCGTCGCATCCTGACCGTAGACGGTGAGAAAACACCCTTATACGAGCTGAAGCGGCAGTCCATCCTCGGGGCCTGGGGAAGCAAGATCCACGTCACCTCGCCCTTAAACTCAGATCAAGAAGTCGCGCTCATCGACTACCACATGTTCTCCGCGACTATCGACTTCCCTCTGCGCGACGGGCATCGCATTAAGATTAGCACATCGAAGCAGAAGGTGGCTGTAAGCGGTGGTCTGGGGGAACTGCATTGGAAGGGTACGGGGATGGAGGTTGCGGGCGCGGCGTCGTGGGAGTTGAGGGATGAGACGAGTCTTGTTATGGTTGCGCAGGTGGATCACGCACAGGCGAACGGATGGGTTATGCTTTGGAAGGAGGGGCTGGATTCGCAGACGGTTGAGGAGCTTGTTGTTGTGGGGGTTGCGCAGATTGAAGGGTATAAGAGGATGATTAGGCAGAGTAAGACGTCGGCGGTTGGGGTTATGGCGAACAAGTAGCCGGGTGGCTTGCCATTGTTCGAGCGGAAGCATATGTCGTACTGTGTTGCTGCGTTAACGAGACGAAAGAGGGCGGCGACGGAGAAGCTGGACCTTAGGAAACGTGCGACTCTATTTACTATATACATGTGCACTATCTCCACTGTTACCGTAGCGGCAGAGACTTGTCCTCCGCGACTTCGCCTGCATCCTTTACCGGCACCGCCTCGGGGCTCGCAGCGGGCGTCAACCACGCTGCAGGCGCATCACTTTGCGCAGCCTTCTTTGCGTCCTTCACCCTCTTGTTGACGAACCCCGGTTCAGGGCTCGCCCATTCGTAGCCAAAGCCGTCACCAAGCACCTCCTGTACACCCTCGGCAAGGATCTGCACTGCCTTCCTGCGGTTCCTGCTCCACTCCCACGCGCGGTACCAGCGGCCAGCTTGTACGGCAGTCTCTTTGCCACCCTCCAATCCATCAAGAATAGATCGCCAAACGAGCATTGTCTTCTCCAATTCGGGTGCGCGCGAGACACCGATAACGCTGACACCCAGCTTGGAGCCACCGACGTCGTCGATGGACTCGTGCGTCCAGGGCACGCCTGATGCGGGGTCTCCACGGGATCCACACAACGCGCCAGCAGATATCCATGTCTCGAGCGCGAAGCGGATGGCGATAACCTCGATGCGCTCGCCGTAGTCGTCGCAGAAGTGGCTCGCTTTGCGCACTGCCTCACGGAGAGAGGACGGGGCGGGGTGCCAGTCTCCGAGGCCACCAACGGGTATGCCGTCGTGTCGGAGGAGGCCCATACCAAGGATGGAGGCGTTGGGGACGACGTCGACGCCTGCATTCTTCAGGCGCAAGATGCCGCGCGGGCCGGCGAGCGACTGGTTCTGGAGGGTGAAGTTGGCGTAGGACTGCACCGCATCGAGTGGCTCGCCGGTCTCGCGGAGGATGAGCTCAGCCATGTCGCCCAGCACATCCAGTGGGTATCCACAGATACCAATGAACCGAATTGTGCCCTCTTCGTCTCTAAGGCGGCGGAGTTCCTTGACCGCTTCCAAGACCTCCGCCGGGCTCACGAACTCGACGTCGTGACAGTATACCATGTCCAGGTATTCAGTATGTAGCCTCTCCAAACTCCTGTTGACGCTCTGGCGCACCCACTCCTTGCTGTAGTCGAACTCTTCGCTCCCTGTCCGCCCGACCTTGGTCAGGATCATGTATGAGTTGCGCGGGAACGTCTCCCGGACGAATGGTGTCGCGAGCGCATCGCCGAGCAGTTGTTCGGAGGGGCCGTAGTAGGGCGACGTGTCGAAGGCGCGAATGCCGTGTGTGAGCGCCGAGGTCACGAGACCAGTTGTGTCGAGCGCGAAGGGATCGGTGTTGTATTGCGAGTTGAACGTGGCTGTACCGAAGACGAGGGGAGGGAGGATGGACGACAGCGGGGTGCGCCGGCCATTGGCGAAGGAGTATGGGATGGGCTTCTGGCGCGTGGGCAGACTGCTGACGGTTGAGGGGTGTTCGATGGGCGTTGTCGCCATGGTCGCGACTGTGCGGGCTGCTGGAAAGGCTATTGGCGGGTCGAGTACCGTCGCGTCGCTGCTGCGATGTCTATAGCGGGGTGTGTGCTTCGCGGGAGGATGCAAGCGATGCGCGCAAAGCAGGATAAGGAGTCGCGGTAGGGCTCTCGTATGTAGTCTTTCGAGTCGTAAAGCTGAGTATGCAGAACGTGGGAGAAGAGAAACAGTCGGCAGCCCGCGGTTTAGGCTCGCGCATGCCACGCTCCGAAAGCGTGAAATCTATGCCTCACCATCCACCGTTTCGGTTGTGGTAAGGCGCCGCACCGCGATGGCAGGAACAGATGGACTAACGGTCGACCCGCATGACGCCATCTGCGTCTGGAACGCGTTTCCTGGCGCTGGGGCGACGGCCATTGGTTGAGATGGAAAAGTCGAAAGGATGATTCATGGATGTTGTGTGATCAAAGAAGGGTCCACCGCTCAAAAAAGACCCTGCCTCGGCCGCCAATCGTGATTAGTGCCGAAGTATCGGGCGCGCATCTCAACATGCGAACGCCAGCACACTACTCCCGCCGGGCTTGGAGAGCTGACATGTCCGCTAGGTGGCTGCCTGGGCCGTTGCAGCGCCGTCATAAGTTTTGATGCGAGCTGCGTGCTGACTGCAGATAATGATACGGAGACGCTAGCGCAAGACATTCCGCAGCTAATCGGGCCGCGACACCTCCACAAAATGGTGCAGGCATGCGGCAGGGATGAACATCGCGGACTTCCTTTCCTGTCTTCGTTGTCTACTTCTTGATTTCGGCCTTGTTTCGCGATGATCTGGTCGCGATTACTTTGATTCGCGTTTGACTCGTTGTGTGACGCCGTCGCTTTGCCGGTAGCTGCTTTGGCTGTCTGAGCTGCTAGGTCTCGATTCTCGTTACGGGCACACCAGAATCGGTTCCATCGTGTGTCAAATTATGGTCTAGATGTTGCGCATCTGTACACTGTCAGGATACGCCTTTGCTGCAGTACAAGCAGAACGCTGCATACCTCCTCATGCACGAGCTGAACGTGTCCCGCTATCCCCATTGGACCTGATTACGTAGGCAGTGGCAGTGGCAGTGGCAGTGGCCGTCGCATGGCAATGGCCATCCTCGCGCCCTCATCATCCCCACCATCGCGTTCTCATTGAAACCAGACAGCGCGACAATGCGACAGCGAATGGCCGCCCAGCGACTGTTCAGCCTGGAGAGGCGCGCAGATGTTTGATGTCGCTGAACGGTACGTGAGCGAGGAGCTGAATGACTGAGTTGCACGCAGCTTCCCAATGTAGCCCGCTGCTGCTCCCAACAGTCACTCTCCTCCTATGAGACGCCGAGCTCGAGTCGGGAGTATATTGCTCGGGCGCCCCCTTCTCTCCATAGGTGATACCTCTTTTCGGCCCCCCGCCACCAACGCATGCATCGTGAGGCTGAACCATGCTTACCCGAGGCCGCCTTGGTGCTGCCGGCTTCGAAGGCGAGGATGGCTTATGCTATAACTCCGATGCTTGCCTGCATCATCTCGCAAAATTCACCTACGACTTCGTTCTTGGCCTCGTGGCGTTCGCAATACCGATTCCCGTTGCCGCACAATGGCGACCAGAATTGTGCAACCAAGCACATCCACTGATCTCGGTCGACTATGGAGAGGCGCTATACGAGACTACAAAGAACGTACCGGTGAGGATCTTTCGACGATGGCAGTGGGAAACGTCACCGACGTGATGCGACAAACAACTGTGGTCATGAACGAGTTCAAAGGGTTTCGCGATGACGGAACCAAGAAGGCAAACTTTCGATCGGCGATGGGGGATCATCTTGGTAACCTCCAGACTTGCATTGACGGCTTTGCTGCAGTCGGGGCCTGTGTCAGTGCTTTTCCTCCAGCGATGCCCGTGGGACTCGTGTTCACTGCCGCCAGCCGCATAATTTCCGTGAGTAGTCAGCATCGTTCTATGATACCGTGTTGAAGTGAGATAGGCGTTTGCAGGCGTCCGAGCAGACTACGATCGTGTCGAGGAGTTCTTCGCATACTCAGCCCGTTTCTTCCAACGACTGTCTATCCTCGAGGACAAAGCACAGTCCGGTCCGCTTGCTATTGCTGTTGAGAGGGTCTTCTCCATGCAGCTCTCGGTATGCGGCAGAGCACGACAGCTGATAAAGGAGAAACGATTCAGTGAGACAACGGCTCTGATGTTGAGGAGGTGCTAATATTTGGCAGAGCATTGGCTCAAAACCTTGTGGAACGAGGTAGATGAAGAGCTGATAGCTGCATATGCTGGAATGCAGGCCTCGATACAGGAACTCAACGAAACGATTACTTACGAAACCTACGGCGCTCTTGTGGCCGTTCAAACTGGGGTGGTCGCTAATAGTTCTAAGTTAGACGAGCTTGATGAGAAGCTACAATCCTACCGTTCGAGCCTAGACAAAGGTATCCAGGAAGTCTACGCAAGCACGATCAGTCTACATCTCATCATCACCGAGGGGATCGTTACCCTACGAAATGAGCGGTTAGAAGATCGTGCTCTGCTTCTGCAGATCATCAAAAACCAGGATAAGACGACCAGAGCCCCGGAGATTGAGGAAAAGAAGAAGCTCGCTCAAAAGCCGAAGGGTGATATCGGGGATCGGAAGTTCCAAGCGTTGCGAGAACTCAAGAAGTTCTTCGCCGACAAGCACGATGTCTTCCCTTCGTGGCAGGATGCTCACCAAGAGAACCTGCTCCAAGACGAAGATTTGCGCGATTCCAAGGTAAGCAAAACGGCCGGATGGCTTCATGAGCATGCGAGCTTCAAGAGTTGGGTAAGTGGAGGAGTTCCTCTCCTTTGGTTACGAGGCGCCGAGGGGATTGGAAAGTCATTCCTAGCTTACTCGGCCGTCCAAGAGCTGCGTCTACGTCAAAACGAGCACGACTGCTTGGCCTACTTCTATTTCAAGGAGGAGCATCCATACCAGCAGTCAATGCAAAACGCGTTCGCTTCGGCTGCACTACAGATTGCCGGATCAAATAACAGATACGCCGAACAGGTAGCGGCCAAGATCAAGCAAGAGTCCAGTGAGTCCGCAGCAATGTCAACCTGGGAGAGGTTCTTCCTCTCGGTGTTTCCAAGTGATAACAAACTCGGTGGTCGCCTTTTCCTTGTCTTCGATGGACTAGACGAGGCGCACGTGCAAGAAGGTGGAACCTTTACGCGGTTCCTGTCGGATCTCAAGCGCCTAAACGCCAGTGTGTCAGTCTTTGCAACAAGCAGACCAGAAGACAAGCCCACACTGCAACTGCTCCAGCCTTCGATCCTCGACGTCACTAAGCATGAAATAAAGCACGATTTGAAGATAGTGGTGAAGGACCGTCTTCGCACACTGCCGCGCCTGCGCAAGTTCACCCAAACTACCAAATCAGCAATTCGTCGCGAAGTAGTCAAGCACGCAGACAGTATGCTCTACGTCGAGCATATGCTTAGGAGGTTCTCTTACATAGGTCGAGGAAGAGCCGTTCTGCAAGCACTGGGGAAGATGCCTCCAAACTTGCATGGACTTTACGAACTTCTTTTGGACGAGTGCCGACAAAATCGATCCGAAGCGCAATACCAGGCGATGAAGAAGTTATTCGCGTGGCTAGCGTTCTCGAAACGATCGCTTAGCCTCGGCGAGGCATCGAGCTTGGTTCAACTCGCACTGTCCGACGACAGCTTCGACATCGAAGAGGAGATCATCGGACGTTCCTCTCGTATCCTCGAACTTACCCGATCACGGCAGCCAGAGGACGATATAAAGGACGATGACAAAGAGGATGACGAGATCGATGAGCCAATAGACGAGGGCATACCAGAGCTCGGGTACGGAGAATCCCCTCTCTGCTTCCAGGATCGGTCACTGCGGGAATACTTCAAGAGCGTGAGTGTCGAAGATGACGGTGTAACGGAATTTCGGACACCTGCCACCGCTGCGCACCTAACAATTCTGAAGATGTGCGTGGCTGTGATGATGAAAGCGGCCCGAGGAATCGAAGAGCAAAGCTCCGGGCTCACAGTATATGCCATCAGCTATTGGTATGAGCATCTCAAGGAGCTGGACGCGGATAACGCGACCCCAGAAGTTGTTCACGATGTTGTAACACTCCTGCACTGCATCACGGCCAATTCATACAACGTCGCCAAGTTATTCGAACAGCTAGCGCGACATACAGACATATATCCCGAGCGCGCTGACGAAGTGCCTATCGCTTGGTTCGATACGCTTCTGAGTTGGACAGCCAGGTCATCAAGCCTACTAGTACAATTTTCGGATAGTAAAGTCAAGAAATGGACGACCGTGGTCCGTAAAGACAACGTTCTGCTTCGGCTTGCTCGCGGTCATGTCCACAATTGGTTGGACGCCAACGACGATTATTGGATACCCGAGAGATTCAGATTCGTCAGGGCCGCGTTGTCCCTCGTAAGCCACTCCTCATACGCAACGACTTCTCTAATGCGCTGTAGTCATTCCCTTTCGAAATCAATGAATCCAATGAACTTGGGCCACTTGAATACATGAAGGCCATCATAAAGAGATACAAGATTCTACCTGAAGACTACAAGACACTACGGGCTATTGGATGCACTCTAGCTGACCACGGTTACGCAACGTGCGATGATGACGATCGCGGAGTAGCAATGATCAAGGAAGCTAGCGTGTATCTCACGAGAGCAGTAGACTGTATGCGGGGAGACGTTCTGGACAACGTCGCTACAGTTCGCCTACTTGCGTCAGTATGTGGTCGATGCGACCAGTCATCCGACGCGGTAAAGCACTACGAAGAAGCCTACAACATGCTACCCGATCACGAGGCCGATAAATCTTCTGAACAAGAGCTGGATCAGATCAAGTCAATACGTGTAGCGATCCTTATCGAGAAAGCCTCCGCCCTTTCAACGTTGGAGCAGACCGACGAAGCTTTGCAAGCATTCAATGAGGCGAGAAGATTGCAGGGCGAACAACCACTCGCTGGGACCATTCTGGACGACATAACGCGACTCTTTCCGAATGAGGACGAGGCCCATAGGCGAAGGCTAATGGAGATCCTCAAGAGCTGGACTGAGAAGGAGCGCGATAGCTTCTTCACGTTCAATCTCGAGGATTATGTAATGGAGCGTACGGTGAAGCGCGTGCAAAGGGCAGCGATGCTGTGCAACGAGACCGACCTACTCATCGGCTGGCTGAAGAGTTTAGCCAACACCCTTCCGCCACAAAGCCTACATTTGTTCAACATTCGAGGCGCGGTGGCAGACATCTACTACCCAATGTTGGGCGATATCGAGAACGGCAAGAGACTACGTCAGGAGCTCCTAGCTTTGAAGACAAAGCCCGATCTTGACTATGAAGACTCTATGAATGAGGCAAAGACGCGCCACCGAATGGACCTGGCAGACATCTTGTTCTGTGAGTTCCAGATGACTGCCGATCCAACGAGAAAAGAGGCCATCATGGGCACCTTGAGAGATCTACCAAGCGCCCACGACAACGATGACGACAACAAGAACATTCGAGAATCCCATGTCGATATGCTCCGCGCAAATATGCTTCGGATCATGGGCCCTGCAAAGGAATATGAGAGGTACATGAAGGAACTGTTCAAGAAGTGTGTTGCCGGTCTTGAAGACAGCATCTCGTGGAACGACTCGTCAAGTCTGCGACTACTAGCCAAGGTCTTGGCATCTTTGGACAGCTTAGAGTCTGATGCAAGAATCGCGATCAGCACCCAGTTTTCGATCCTCGACCTTGCGATCTATGGACATCATCCTGAACCGGAACAGTCGGAGACACGTTCCGACGAGAGCGACATCGAAGCTGGTGCAGAACAAGAGCTAGTGAAGGACGAAAGCGAAACGTTTAACGAAGGCGACGTTATTCGGAACAATTCCCTGGCGGATGAAGCACATGATGCTGAAAGCGAGGATCTTCCGGAAGAGCCGATTGAGGAGAAGCAGGATCCTACAGAGCCGGGAGAACAGGATGTGCCTGAAACAGAGTCCGCCGATCAAACGGAATCCGATGAGCTTGATGAAGACGTGTTCCTAGGTGGAGGTCTTGGCTGCGACGGACCATGCGAAACGAACATCTCATCGTGGACTCAGCCAATCTACTACTGCCTCATCTGTCCGAACTGCGATCTTTGCGAAGATTGCCACTCCAAGCGCGTCCAACAGACGAAGGGAGTCCCACCAACGGGGGAGAAGACCGAAGAGCCATGGCTTAGCTTCTGCGGCGCGAACCATCGCTACATCAAGGGCCCGATGAAGGGTTGGAAGGGCGTTAAGAACGGCGTCATCTGGTATGCGGATACTGAGATCACCGTGACGGAATGGCTTCGGGGGCTCAAGGAAGAGCGGTGGCCAAATGCTTGGAAGATCTTTTGGACGAGGCAGGGAGGGTTGAAGGATATCGGAGTTGAAGATTGAGGTAGATGTATGACCGAAATCTATGTCGTATTCTTCGATAGAATCGCGATCCCCAACGTGGAAGGCATGCAGTGTTCTTTTCGTTACTAGCCGTTCAATACCTCCGCTCGATGCTTGGTTTCACCCAATACGGCCCCTCAACGCAGGTCTTTCCAAAGTTCAGAGTGTCCAAATTCGTCCTATCCCAGCCGCTGACGTACTTCCTGTCTTCTAGGTCATGATGACCAGCCGGCTGCTTCGCACGACCAATACACAATGCTTTGCCAAAGTAGCAATGTCGTCCATGCCAGGTGTACTGCATGCATTCGGCGTGTTCAGTAGACCCAATCCTGCAAGCATCGAGGTTGCTATAGACCCTAGAGTTGTCTGGGAGCTAGAATCCCGCGTCGAAGGCTGCGTCCCAGTTCTCGCGCTGCGGATATTCGCCTTGCAAGGCGGAGAGCAGAGCGCGGTATAACAGGTCGCGATAGCGCGTAGTAACGTTGCTACTTGCTTTCCATTCGTTTTCCCATAACCAAAGGTCTTTGTAGAGGGCTGGGTCTGTTTTGTGTAGGCTAATAACGGGCTCGCACTAGTAGTCCTTACCGAAGGGAATAGTTTCGAGTCGATGAGGGCTGAATATGGGCCATAGACCGCTGATATCGACTCCGGCTTTGTCGTGCAGCGCCCATCCTAGTATGCTGTCGCCACAACAATCGGCTCTAATGTCTTCTTTGTATTTTCTGGTGAGACGAGGGCCCTTGAGACCAAAGGTGTTGCGGTGGCGATCAACGAGTCGATGCGCAGCGGCTTGGGAAAGTATGAAGCCGGCGCCTCCGTACGCGAACCACACTTGTTTCTTCACGTTAGGCTGCGCGTCAGAATGGTACGTTCGTCCGGGCGAAGGCGATCCAAAATAGTAAGGCAGCGAGCTATTGTAGTTCTCCAAAAGACGGAAGACATTGTCCCAGAAGATGTATGTATCGCTCTCCAGGAAGACGTACCACTCAGCCGCCTTGTTGTGATCAATCGCTTTTTGCACTTCCGGTAGGAATTTATACTTGTCAAGCCTCCAACCTTCATGACCCTGTTGTAGCTTCGTGCCCTGGCGACTTGCGTTCTTCTGCGTCTCGTAAACGACGTAGTCCTCTGATTTCAGGTACGTGTTCGGTGGCAAGTCTGCGAGAACGTCGATAGTTCGGTGGTCGCGACCATAGGTATGATTACCATCTGAAACGATCAAAACATCGGAGATGCACTTAATGACTGTTGAGAGTTGAGCATCCGTTCGTGATTTGTCGTCTGCTAATCCGGTCTTGAGGATGACCTGAACCTTCGAGAGCAGATGCACTGGGAAGAGAGCGCATTCGTCTGTGGAGCCGTCCCGCCATTCAGAGTGTTTTATCTTTTTGAACTGTGTCGTGGTGTTCCAAGTCCAGAAGTCCAGGCCATTGTCGGCTTGGGCGTCGAGGTCATGTGGTAATGGTGCGAAAGGCTTGGGGTGAAATGCATGTTTCCCAAGTAGATCGCTTGGCAGGTTTTCGACGAAAGTCCAGTCAAAGAGAACAAGAATATTGACTCCGATGGCTATGCCAATGAATGCGAACAGCAGCCGAAGCGTGCGCCCGGTGGCGAAAGAATTAAAACCTGGTAAAAAGCGACGTGAGCCCGCAAGCATACTGGAGATCGTACTCAGGCGTCGCGTCGCAACACCCTACATCATATCGAGTTCGTCGAAAGCAAAGATACGCCAGGAGTCTGGCACTGGATGTGCGAACGTCGAAAGATCGCAGCGCGTATGGGTGCACATGCTTGTCGCACTGCTAGCCCGGGAGATTCGATGGCGACACCATGACATCTTAGGCGCCCTCTTTGGGGTGGTCGCCTTACGTGACACCCCGTCCAGCAGGATTGCGCCGCGAGACAAGGTGGTGTCAGTTAGCGAGGTTTGCCTGTTGTGATAACGACGACGCCGCTACATACCCGCGCCTAGCTTATCGGGCCCGGGCCTGCAGCCCTCCGTGTCTCCGGCGATCCTCCCGCTCCTCACAAATGCGCTCGTACATCCGGACAATTGCCATTGTTGTCGACTAATTGCTCTAGCATGATGCGCAACAGTAATTCTTATCGCTAAGAGCGATTAAGGTCATCGCGTAAGCAGATCCAGGCGCGGGTCGTGTGGCGTAAAGAAGCTGCGCGTCGTCTCAGCGCCGGGCAACAACGGTGTTAAAGCAGTGCACGATACGATCCAGTCGAAGACAGCTCAGTGTAGGAACTGCGGTAGGGTGATTTTTGGGGGCCAATCATGCGATGCAGCTTACACGTGCAGTGTGGGTGACAATGACCGCCGTCCGTGAAGCTCAGCCCATATCGCTTCGACATCGCCTGGGCAGCGTCAGGCAACAGCATCTGGGCATCTCGTGCTCTCAGGAAGACGGCAATCCTGTCTTAGATCCTCAACTCTAGTACATATCGCAGCTTGACGGATCCAGCCCCAGAGGCTGCTCTCCCCACGGAGAATTCGACCAATGTTGGGCTCACACCAATCAAACAGCCTCAGACGCGCCGCGACCGTGAGACGTGGGGACAGGTGCAGAACACTCGATATAGGATATGGTGAAGCACCCGACAATGCGGTCGACGGACGCGTAAAGCGCATCGATTTCGAGGAGGCGAAGCGTTGGATATCGCATTGCGCGTCATCGCACCCCAAATGCAGAGCACCTTCACGGTCTGCGCTGATCGACCTGAAGGTGATTGATTGTCGCTACAGAGAAGTCGTTTCGAGACCGCAAGGCCACGTATACGTCGCACTCTCCTACGTGTGGGGTGATTCAGGACCAGAAGACACTCAGCAAGGTTCAAAACTATCGAAGGAGCTCCCTCGCACTATTGATGATAGCATCGAAGCTACCCTGAAGCTCGGCTATTGGTACCTCTGGATAGACAGATATGTACGCTTGTTTAGCTGTCCTCCTATGCACTAGCTGATCAAGACAGTGTATTGACCAAAACGATAGCGTCGCTCAGCAACACCAGATCCATCAGATGGGAGCTATCTATCACGAAGCACAAGTAACGATCATTGCAGCAGCTGGTACAGACCCTACCTATGGGCTCTCGGGGCTCACCCAAAATTTCAAGAAGTCTTGTTCTTGTACAGTCTCCGATTTCGTACGTCTGCTCCATACTAAAGGGTCGGCAGTCCAGTCCATCAAAGACTCTGTGTGGTACACTCGAGGATGGACTTACCAAGAAGGATTCCTGTCAAGGCGGCGAATGTACCTCACCGATGCTGGCGTATTGTACGTTTGTGACGAGGATCGCCATAGTGCGTCGCTTAGCAAGATTTCTGCCTCCTTGCGCAATACTTCGGCAAGACCGTCTTTCCATGATGATGAGCAGATGATGCGGGAATACACACGGCGCCAACTTACACACGATTATGATGCGCTTAATGCTATCCTTGGCGCGCTCGAAACACAGTCCGACCGTCACATTTGGGGGGTGAATATCTCACAGGGGACCTTCGGTACATACGTATTTCTGCACTGGAGACACTTGTTTCCGGTTCGTCGACGCAAAGGATTCCCTAGTTGGTCACCCCTTGGCTGGTGCGGCCAAGTGGAGTATTCGAAGTCTGCTCCTGGCCTTTCGTATCTTTGTCGACTTGAAGCATGGCGAGATAAGACTTACAAACCACTCCCACGCAAACCCAGTAAACTCGCCGTGGAAGGTTATCCGAATCTGACGGTGGAGGAGAACTCGAAACGTTTGAGACTGACAACGCTAATAGTAACGCTCGAGTTTATCCACATCGAAGGTACACACCGTGACGGAGTCTATGCCAAGGTCCCGTATAGTCCGACGCTCGATATCTTCGTTTTACCGTACTGGGACATTGATTGTGTATCCGAACTAGGTTTAGAGGGTGGTAGTATCAAATTGCCATGCATAGTGGCGATGGGCGAGGGATCTCCGTTGAGATTCCCGAAGTTCGAGAACGAGATGCAAATACTCATCTTAAGGGTACACGACCGCTATTACGAACGGATTGGATGTCTTTCCGTTGACGAAGACTCAGAGCGCATGTTTTCTGGAGATGAACAAGGCCATGAGTTGATGCACTGGCTTCATTCACCTGAACACGGCGATGGCAGGTACTGGCTAAGGGATGGTGTCAGAACCACTTTCCTCTTAGGCTAGTCGCGTAGACGTCGGAAGGGAAACAAATACGTGCCACGCACGTCGTCTCCAAAACGCAAATCTCGACTATGCATCTTATTCTCTGCGGTCGCTATGTAAGCACAAGCGCATGTCGTGCGTCCTCGATTCGGGGATGTTTAGGACAATTCGTCGATTAGCTCGGGACGAACCGAAGCTATACAAAGAGATCTGCGCAAATGCTCGGGTTGGACTGCGACGAACTGGTGGCTGGTGCTGCATGTCGTGAACGGGGTCGTGATCGAGGCGCCATGGTTGAAGCTCACGAAGATAACAGACTCGTCCGGACAAGCGATAAACATCCGGTAACACCAGATCTGCGGAAGTAGCACAATTGCTGACGCGCTTCGGGACTCGAGAGCGATAAAAGTTCGCGACGCAGGTGCGCTGGCGATAACCCCAATCTCTTGGTTCGCGAACTGCGATAGTGCAAAGAAAAGGCGAGACCTGCATTACCTATTCGCGCGAATGGCTCTACACACGATGCAACGAGAATGCGACATCCGATCGAGCGTTTATGAAGAAGATCACTACACAGCAGGAAGAATACGATGACGGCTGGGGCATCATCTGGGCAAACCTCTCTAGACTCAGCACCCACAAAGCTACTAATGAACGATGAACTGCACCCTTTTTGTACTACCAACAACACTAACAATGCCACATCTCCTGACGGAAGACGAACGTGACGAGATCCTCTCGTAACGGCTACTCCTTCGTCTCCAGCCAATGCAACTTTGTCCCAGGTCCTAACAGCATTAGCCAACATGTCCCAACCAACATCTTCAAAGCAAGCTTTGCTTACCAATATCCATACTCGGATGACACGCATACAACCTCGTCTTCCCATCCTCATCTAGCAGCGCCCCAAGCGGGAACTCTACACAAAAGTCAGTCATCTCGTCATCTCGCCATCCCGCCATGGGCTCAGCACCGCTAACATACCAAAAGACTCAAGCTCAACCCCATCCCCCTCCCCCGTATACTGAACCGACTTCACCCGATCAAACTGCTCAGTCCAGTACATAGACATAGCCTCAAACTCGGTTGATTCATGCACCCATCGCCCGAGAACGAGCAATTTGATCCCGTTGCTACTTTGCAGGAGTCCATTCTGGAGCGTGAATACAGCAGCGTCGTCGCGGTCTCCTATGGTAGCTGGCTGCTTCTCCTCGGTCTTGACGGCCTCGTTGTCGGTCATTTTACTAACGAACTGACCGTTAATTTCGATAAGGAAGCGGCGGTTTAGGTTTGTGCTTTTTTCTGTGTTTTCCATGATTGTGGGGCTGAGGGAAAGATGAATAGGGATCGGGATGGAAGAGAAGAGTTGATATCTTGCCCTTGGTAGCCACGAAGGCTTTTAGTATGTGTCCTTGGTAGTACAAGTCGCGGAGCTGAAGCAACTCGCGCATACCTAGTCTGTGATAGTGCGGCACTTGACAATCCATTGGGTTCGACGAGCTGACGCGAACCAAATACATGAAAGGCACGCCTTTGTTCTATACGTGGCACACACCATGCAAGCCAAGGTAGATACACATCAGCCGCCTATCTCACGAAAGCCATCGTCACTAGTTCAGCCAACCAGACCCATTCATACCGACACAAGAACTTCAACCCGAGCTTCTCTGCATTGTATCATCAAATTTGAATTGGTATCGCCTATATACATCCTCTCACTCTCCCTTCTACAGCTTCGCAAAGACCGTGGGCACAGCTCCGCCCATCTCCACAAGCGTACTCTTATTCCTAACCCAAGCCTCAAGACCCTTCTTACCATTCTCCACACCAACACCGCTCTGCTTCCAGCCACCAACGCTCATCTCAGCCGGACTCTCACCCCAGGTGTTGACCCATGTGATACCCGCTTCGAGCTGAGCAATAACCTTGTGCGCTAGGTTGAGGTCCTTGGTGAATACACCCGCCGCGAGCCCAACATCGGTGTTGTTGGCGCGTTGGACAACTTCCTCGACGGTCTTGTATGTGAGGATGGACATGACAGGGCCGAAGATCTCTTCGCGCACGATCTTCATGTCGTCGGTGCAGTTTGTGAAGACGGTGGGTTGGACCCAGTAGCCGTTTTGGTAGGGTTTGTCGCTGTGTGACGCAACCCATGATGGGGTTTCGGGGCCTCCGCAAAGCATCTTCGCCTTGTCGTTGTCGCGGCCGTGCTTGATGTATTGTATGACCTTCTCGTAGTGCGGCTTCGATACTAGCGGGCCAAAGTTGGTGGCCATGTCGTGGAGATTGCCTGGGCGGATGTATTGCATCTTCTCTAGTAATCGCTTCTCGAATTCCGACTTCATTGCTTCGGGGATGAAGACTCGTGTACCGTTGGTGCAGACCTGTCCTGTTGAGAAGAAGTTGGCTAGCATTGCGCCGTCCACTGCCTGGTCCACATCCGCGTCTGGAAGGATGACGCATGCCGACTTGCCGCCCAGCTCCATTGTCACG